TTTTCTTCCTTTCATTGTTCTTCTCTTGCTTGATTTACGATGAGTCATGAAACACCCACCTCGAAGAACACGGAAGGAGAACTCTCGGGAACCTCCAGCGGTTCTAAGGAATCTGTTACGATTCAGAGAAGGACTATCTCTCCTTATGACTTGACTTCGAGCGATAATCCCGAAAGCCTAATCTCTCAGCCGTTGCTGCAAGGTCCGAATTATGACGAATGGGCATCGAGTCTTCGTCTGGCGTTGAAGGCACGGAAGAAGTTTGGTTTTGTTGATGGCACGATACCTCAACCACGACCAGATTCTGGAGATCTTGAAGACTGGTGGACCAACAATGCGTTGGTAATCTCTTGGATAAAACTCACGATTGATCCGGGAGTTCGGTCTAACCTCTCGCATCGGGATGTTGCGAGTGATCTGTGGAATCATATTCAGAAACGATTCTCAATCAAGAATGGATGCAAGATACAACGGATCAAAACAGAGATCGCTACGGCGAGACAGAGGGGACAAACGATCGAAGCACACTTCGGATATCTCAACAAACTCTGGACGACATTGACCGACTATCGTCCTCCGAAAAGCTGTAAGTGTGGATCGTGTACCTGCAGTCTTAATCTCGAGCTTGAACATGAGAGAGATCAAGACAGAGTCCATGAGTTTCTGCGTGGGATTGATGAAGTATACGTCCCAACTCGATCGGCTCTGCTTTCTCGGGTTCCGTTTCCTTCTCTTGACGATGTATACAACGCTCTGACTCAGGAGGAAGACTCACGAACAGGAGTCCGTGAATACACAGAGCCGACTGATGGAGTTAGTTTCGCAGCTCAATCACAGCCTCGCCCTCGCGGCGTTTCCACTGATCGTGACAAGAGTGCGACTTGCTCCGCCTGTGGTAGAACAGGACATGTAGCAGAACAGTGTTTCCGTCAGATTGGATATCCTCCGTGGTGGGGAGACAGGCCTCGAAACCGTGGAACACCACCAACAAGCAATGGACCAGCAACAAACAAAGGCAAAGGCAAGGAGGTCTCGTGCGTGAATGCTGTTGGCACCACGGGAGGAGCTTCATCTTCAGCAGGACATTCCAGGTTTTCAGAGGCTGATCGAATGGGGTTTAGCGGCTTGAATGCAGACCAGTGGAGGACACTTGTTCAGATGCTCAATGAAAGGAAACCGGGATCTAATGAGCGGCTCACGGGTATATTTTTTCTCGAATCATGGATTATTGATACTGGTGCAACAAACCATATGACTGGTTCAACTGATTTTCTCACTGATATTCACAATATTGCTCCGATAAATATCAAGCTTCCTGACGGACGTTTTACGGTTGCGGTAAAACAAGGATCCGTTAAGATGGGTCTTAGGATCAGTTTGCAGAATGTGTTTTTAGTTGAGGGTTTGCATTGTCATCTGATTTCCGTCTCACAGTTGACGCGAGAAAGTCAGTGTATGTTTCAGCTATCTGATAGGCTTTGCATTATTCAGGACCGCACCACGAAGATCCTGATTGGAGCGGGTGAGCAGCGACATGGATTGCACTTCTTTAGGAGCGTGGATACTGCAGCGGCGATGGTTAGATGCACAGGGAGACTATCTCGAGAAGTCTGGCATCATCGATTAGGCCATCCCTCTTCTCGAGTTGTAGATGCATTACCTATTTCTGATATTTCTACTACTAGAGCTTTTGATAATAAGGCGTGTGACATTTGTATCCGCGCAAAACAATCTCGTGATGTTTTTCCTCAAAGTATGAATAAGACTACTGCAGCTTTTGAATTGATTCATTGTGACTTATGGGGACCATATCGAACACCAGCTCTTTGCGGAGCTCAATACTTTCTCACGATCTTGGACGATTACACTCGAACCTTGTGGTTATATTTGTTACCAAATAAACAAGTAGCACCAGCCAAGATAAAGCAATTCTTTGCCTTGGTCGAGCGACAATTTCAAGCCAAGATAAGAACGTTTCGAAGTGACAACGGCAGTGAGTTTATCTGCCTTACTGACTATTTTCGTGACCTTGGAGTGATTCACGAAACATCCTGTGTGGGTACACCACAACAGAACGGACGCGTTGAGCGTAAGCATCTACATATCTTGAATATTGCAAGAGCATTACGATTTGAAGCGAATCTTCCCATCGAATTCTGGGGAGAATGTGTCTTGGCTGCAGGCTACCTGATTAATAGGACACCAACGGAGGTGTTGAACGGGAAAACACCATTTGAAAAGCTGTACTCCCGACCTCCACCATTGGGTCATTTACGGATCATAGGGTGTCTATGTTATGCTCATAATCAATGGCATGGAGGGGATAAATTCGCAAGTCGTAGCAGACAATGTGTTTTTATTGGTTACCCCTTTGGAAAGAAAGGGTGGAGACTCTTCGATCTTGAGTCTGAAACTGTTTTCGTTTCCCGTGACGTCATCTTTCACGAAGCTACATTTCCATATAAACTAACAACTCTCTCTGCTACTCCTCCGCCGATCCGAGATGATGCGATTACACCGACGAACATAGAGAACGATGTGATCACATCTACGAATCTGGAGAACGATATACTCCATTCTCCTGACGTGCGACTGGACTTGACGGATGATGCTTCTCCAGATCCTGCATCGTCTTTAACAGAGATTGCTGACACTGCAGAACGACAAGAAACAGAGTCGGAAACAGAGCATGCATCTGATTCACATGAGACTGAAATTGCGTCTGAAGATGATGAATCACATACTTCTACAGAGCCTGCTTCCCAGGATTCTGCAGAGACCGACTCACATGAGACAGAGGACGATGACTCGCTAGACATTCTTCCCGACGGACAAGGAAAAGATAGAACTCTTGGACGTGGTCATCGTCTCAAAACTCGATCGACACGACTGAAGGTCTTTGTCGCTAACACGATTCATGCTACATCGTGTTATCCTCTTGAAGATTTTTTAAGCTGTGATCAATTCTCCGACAAACATCGACAATTTCTTGCTGTGATATCCTCTAACATCGTTCCGCAACATTACTCTTAAGCCATTGAGGATCCGCACTTCTGCGAGGCTATGCAGTCTGAAATTGTTGCTCTTGAGGATCAGGGAACCTGGACAATCGAAACATTACCTATGGGGAAGAAAGCGCTTGGTTGTAAATGGGTTTACAGCATCAAATACAAGTCTGACGGCTCGATTGAACGATATAAAGCTCGCCTTGTGGTGTTCGGTAATCATCAGATTGAAGGAGAAGATTTTAGCGAAACATTTGCACCGGTGGTAAAAATGACAACGGTGAGATGTTTTCTTGAAGTGGTAGCTTCTCATGATTGGCTGGTACACCAGATGGATGTCCACAATGCCTTCTTACATGGCGAGTTGGAGGAAGAAGTTTACATGCGCTTACCACCAGGCTTTCGTACAGATGATAAGAACAGAGTATGTCAACTCCGAAAATCACTATATGGGCTTAAACAAGCCCCAAGATGCTGGTTTGCGAAGTTGAATACTGCATTACGAGACTATGGATTTGAGCAATCTATTCCCGATTACTCCCATTTCGTCTACGATAAGGGAGGGGTTCAGCTCCACGTGTTGGTGTATGTGGATGATTTGCTCATAATGGGTAACTCGGAGCAGTTTATACACACTTTTAAGACGTATTTGAGTACTTGTTTCAACATGAAGGATCTTGGTCTTCTCAAATATTTCTTGGGCCTTGAAGTTGCTAGAAATGCATCGGGCATCTATTTATGCCAACGGAAATATGCGCTGGACATCATTACCGAAACAGGTCTACTTGGGGCGAAGCCGGCATCGTTTCCCATGGACCAGAACTACAAACTTGCCTTAGCTACCAGACCTACGATTTTGAATCCCTCCAGGTATCGTCGTTTGGTTGGGAGATTGATTTATCTTGGGGTCACGAGACCTGAACTGTCATATGCTATACATGTACTTTCGCAGTTCATGCATGATCCGAAACAGTCTCATTGGGAGGCTGCTGAGAGGGTGGTCCGTTATCTGAAATGGAAGCCGGGGCAAGGTATCCTTTTCCGAGCCAACCAACCTCTGATTCTCAAAGCCTGGTGTGACTCCGACTGGGCAGGATGTCCTATTACGAGGCGATCGCTGACTGCTTGGTTTATTCAACTTGGCGACTCCCTCATCTCATGGAAGACACGCAAGCAGGATCGGGTCTCTCGCTCCTCTGCAGAGGCTGAATATAGAGCAATGTCTGATACAGTTCAGGAATTGCTATGGCTTAAAAATCTGCTTACCTCGTTTGGAGTAAGTTTCTCGGAGCCGATCGGAATCTACAGTGACAGTCTCTCAGCGATTCATCTCAGTGCTAATCCGATCTTTCATGAGAGAACCAAGCATGTTGAGAACGACTGTCACTTTATACGAGATGAGATTACGAGGGGGGACGATTCAACCTCATCATGTATCGACTACGAAGCAGCTGGCTGACATTCTAACCAAGGCGCTTGGAAAGAAGGAATTTGCTGAGTTTCTTCTCAAGTTAGGAGTTCATAATCTTCACTCTCCAATTTGAGGGGGGGTATTACGATACCTTATGTACATTATGTTAATGTACATATTCCTTTTCTATAATATGTCGGTTTATGTGTATAGTATCCGAATAAGGATAGAAACCTTTGTATATATATTCGGTCTTGGAACCAATAATCAACACAGAAAACTATTCTATACTTATTGTTTTCTGATAAGCTCGGTGATTCTTGGTTCGAGCCCTAACTTCCATAGATGTCTTCCAAAATTAGGGCAAAGAGGGAGGAGCAACCACCGTCTCTGATGATGATGTCACTTCCATATGACCTAATCGTGGATATCGTGGCACGTGTACCAAGGTGCTACTATCCGACTATCTCTCTGGTTTCCAAGAGTTTCCAATCATTCATTACCTCACCTTAGCTATACACGAGAAGATCCTTGTTAGGCTGTACCGAACACTGTCTCTATCTTGTCCTCTCTATCGACAATGAATGCCGTTTATGTATTCTACGCCGGAAAGTCAAAAGCAGTCGCTTGGTCACTATCCGGTCGCTTCTTCTTATGGATCCCTATGGATTGTATGTAGCCGTGGGTTCCAAACTATATGAAGTGAATGGATCAGTTTACGATTACGGTACATTATGCATCGACTGTAGATCTCACACGGTGCAGCCAATCTTCGGCACTCCTAAGCGCATGGAAGATAATAAGGTCGCTGAAATCATCGACGATAAGATTTACGTAATCAACTCAGAGGGAGACATGGTGTTGGATACACAACTCAAAAGTGGGATCATGCGATGAAAAAGCCAGACGTGGAGCTACGCAACCTTTGGATAAATAATTATGTGGTGATGGAGGATAAGATTTACATGAGAACTCGTTATAATAGCTTTGTCTATGAGGCAAAGGAAAATAGATGGGAATCGGACGAGATGCTGAATTCTAAGAAATAGAAAGATGCGTGTGTGGTCGACGATGTATTGTACTATTACGATAGTTACGTGAAGGAGTTGAGAGCTTATGATCCAAAGCAAAGGTGCTGGAGAGCGGTGAAAGGTTTGGAAGAATTTTCGAGTAAGATGGAAAATTGGCTCTGTTCTTTCATAAACATCATCATGCTCCGACAAAGACAAGGGAGCTTTGGTGTGCGGAGATTGCTTTGGAAAGACGCCAAGGAGGAGAGATTTGGGGTAAGGTGCAATGGTGTGATGTTGTGTTTGATGATGGTAAGAGTTTTTCCGTGGAGAAATGTTTAGCTGTTATCGTTTGATGCAGGCAAGTTTTCACAGATGGGTTTTGTTTCTACTATCCTATATCTCAATGGTGTGATGCCTGTGTTTAATGATGGTGACGGGAGACTTTGTTTCGTGGGAAAATGTTTAACAGTTAGTGTTTCTACGTGTGGAGATAAACTATTTTTTTCACCTTCGATCGGTTTTCTTTCCAATATCCTCCTATAGCTCTGTTTTTGTGGTTGGAAGGTTTTTGACTTTAAATTAAAATATTTTCGTTTGAGTTCTTTGTTAATAGATAGATTTCTTAGTGCATGAACTATTCAATGAGGCTTCAAAATCTTTAATCTTTTAAAACCTACGTTTTCAATTCATCAAGGGACTAATACGATTGTATGATATGATCCATTTTTGCCGAAACTGAGTACAAATTCTTAGCTTTCCCACCTTAAAATAATATGGTATCTAAAGTAATGTCGCCAAATCCTGAACTTAACTAATTTAAGCTCAAATTCAAATTAAACCATGTCATTTCCAATCATTAACTACTAAACTGATTAATACTCAATTGCAGCACAACAAAATTGTTAACCACAATTTTATTCTATGCTGGTAAAGGAAAGGTTCATGCCGCAGAGGTTGCAGTGGACACAAGAATATACCTTCCCGGTTCTCCTAAATCTCATGATCCACATGGTCTCCACTGGTAAAATATTCATCTTTCTCATCTCACCAATTGCTTTTCATTATACAGAAAGTCACATTATTATACCAGATTTTTTAGAAAATAACATTATTGTTATTATTGGTGTCTGGATCCGGAAAGAGCCAAGGAGGAGAGATTTAGGGTAAGTTGCAATGGTGTGATGTTGTGTTTGATGATGATAAAAGCTTTTTCGTCGACAAATGTTTAGCTGTTACGGTTTGACGAAGAATCTCTTCTTCACATAAGTTTTTTTTCACCCTTAGATCGGTTTTCTTTCCATTATCCTAGATCTGATTTTGTTGTGGTCGGAAATTTATTGAATTCATTAATTTAAATTTAAATATTATAATTTAAGTGTTGTGTTAAAAATCCGCAATGTTTTGGGAATTGATTTCTTAGTGCATGAACCAAAGATAAAGAGGGTTTTCTTCGTAAAACACTCAAAGCAATCGGAATTACAACAATAAATTCAAAGAAACCAGAAGATTTGGTTTTTTATTGATAATCAAACACTCGAACAAAACTGTTACCCCCAAATCACAATGGCGATTTTGAGAAATTTCAAGCCTAATTAGCTTTACGGTCCAATCGCAAGGACCTAATTCGAGTCTAATAAAAACAAAACATACAGTGAAAATGTTCATCGAGAACGGTTGCTATCAATTAAAGATGATGATTAGTGAATGAATTTCGAAACAGAAATACAAATAGAAACAGAGGAAAAAGAAAACTCCTTCACGATTGTACTATTTCAAAGTACAAGTTTCAATTTATTTTGCTAATTTTTTTAGGTGAGGAAAGTTATCTTAACTATTATTTGACAAACATGTTTAATAAAAAAATCTGATGTGTCATCACCTTAACAAAAGTTAGTGTAAATTAATAGTGACGTGGAATTGTGACATTGAAATGTGATATGATAAATTTTCTAAAATAAACGAAATAATTTGGTTGGTTAAATTATAATTAAAGAAATTAACAAATTATAACATAAATATATTAGATAATAATAGATTATCCAATAAGATAATATATACGCTATGTATTAATAATGTTGGGAGTATGATATATTATTTTTTGTATATAATTTTTTTAACATTTTTATATTATTGTTTTCTAGAATTTGTGTAGCTTACATTACCATCTCAAGATATTTCTTATCTTTTTTTAAATAAATTAGAAGTGTATATCATATTCATATACAGTCTCATTGTTGATCGAGAATTTATAATCAGAAATAAAACGTAAAGTAACTGGATAAAAAAAATAAATTATAAATAAGAAAAAACAAATATGAATAAGAAGTAGAAGTAAAAAAAGATCTCTACAGTTTTGTTTTTCCGTAACACTCTCAAACATTGTTTTACAGAGTTATTTAATAATTATAAGAAATAAATTCTATAATAAACGCATGTGTGACTCAAATTTTATAATGAATACATGCACGCAAACCAACCATAAGAAATTTTTTTTTTATCATACCAATTCCTCAATATTGGACAAAAAGATAGCATAGAATTGGCAAAGAATTTTATAAAATATGATTTCACAAATTTTATAATAAATATTTATTATAAATTTTATTTGATATAAATAAATATATGAATAAGAAGTAGAAGTAAAAGTAAAAATGAATCTTTACGACTTTGGTTTTCTGTAAAATTCTCAGACTATATCTTTGGTTTAAAGCATATTTCACTCACCTTTATTTTAAATTTTCTAATTTTGAGGAAAAATAGCGATGTTAATTTTTCTTCTATAATGGAAGGAAAAATTAACAATCTTTCTTTTTCTTTTAAAATAGAAGGTTAGAGAGAAATCAACCTATATTTTAGAGAAAAAATAAAAAAATACATTGGAGATGATCTTAATGTTTAATATATTATTTAAGGTTAAGAAAACAAAATATGAGTCAAAAAAGACAAAAAAAAAGAGAAACAGTTTTGATCAATTTTATGTTTTTATTTTGAAATATTTAAAAATAGTATCTTACACATATTAATTCTTTCATGCATATAATTTTTTTCAACATCTTAAAATATTATTTCATGTATATGTTATGATCCATTCTATATAAAATTAACACATATATCAAAATTAGGAACAAAAAAACTCTTATTTTGTAATATAATAATTAAATATTAAATATATTATATCACCTACAACTATACACATATAAGTTTAGGATCTGGCTGGTTTAAACGCTACGGTTACAGAGAGTTTGAGGAAGCAAGCGATTGCAGGCTATTAAAAATTTGACAAAGAGATAAATGAAGTGCTACCGGAGAATTTTATAAAACAAGAACTCACAAATATTTTTATTATAATTTTTATTGAGAAACAATATATCATAAAATGCTAAAAAATAAAATATTTTGATTAAATACGAAAAGATAGAAACGGTTTTCGTGATTGTTGTTAAACGCCAAAAAAACTGTATTGTGTAAAATCATAACTGTTTGTGGAAAACTGCACAGAAAGTTCATGATGATTGATGAAGAATAAGAAGAACATAACAATGACCAACTACAAATGTCTATATCTTGTTTTTGAAGGATTAAATCATCTGACGAACTGAGTGCTCGATCTGCGAGAAGATGGACATGGTGTTAGTTTAAGAGACCTCTTTCTTTGGTTTTTTTTGTTTGTTTGTTAGAATTCCATATTATTCACAATGTTGCTTCAGTGATGTCTTGAGATTACAGAATGTTGGGCTTTATTTTTCCATATTTTGTCGTTATCACGACGCCACACAATATGCTATTATAAGATCAATCTTCTGAATCTGCCCATTACTTCTTTTTAATCTAGTTCTTGAAAAACAAACTCTGACCCTCTCGTGGATTAAGATTGGTTTATAAATGGTTTAGAGCAGAACCGAAAGAAACAAATTAAACCTTTTTTGTTGATATTGATTTACCTTTTTTATTTTATTTTTGGACATCATATCAATTGTTTCCACAAACAAACTCGAAAAAGGAAAAAAAAAAAGAAAGAAAGGATTTTGATTTAATTAGGCTATGTGTCTGTCGATAGTTATCCTATTCATTATGTAAATTTTCCTCTTTTCTTTTAATTAAGAGGCCGGAGAGATTAGCCAGTTTTGAAAATTCTAGTCGATAGAGAGAGCTAGGTCACGAACGAAAAGCTGAGGAAGATCGATATTGATTCAAACCGAGTTGTAGTCTGTCTGTAGATAATCAGGATCTAAGGAAGGATTAGGAGCTTCCTCTCTCGCTCGGTGATTCTTTATTTGAGGCCTAACTCCGTAAATGTCTTCAGTTAGGGCAAAGAAGGAGGAGCAACCACCGTCTCCGATGATGTCACTTCCATATGATCTCATCATGGATATCGTGGCACGTGTACCAAGATGTTATTATCCGACAATCTCTCTGGTTTACAAGAGTTTCCGATCACTCGTTGCGTCGTCTCAGCTATACACGAGAAGATCTTTGTTAGGCTGCACCGAACACTGTCTCTACGTCGTCCTCTATAGCACGAAAACTAAAGAACTCCGTTTGTATACTCTCTTCAGGAAAGTAAACAGCAGTCACCTGGTCATTATCGGGTCGCTTCCTCTTATAGAGCCCGACGGAATGTACGTAGCCGTGGGTTCCAAGATATATGTGGTGGGTGGAGAGTTTTACGATACGTTAAGCATCGACTGTGGATCTCACACGGTGCAGCCAATCGTCGGCATTCCTAGGCTCAAGTATGTTCACACGGTTCAGCACATCTCCGGTAAGATTTACGCAATCAATATGGAGGGAGTCTTCGTGTTGGATACAGAAACTCAAAGGTGGGATCATGTGATGAAAAAGCCAGACGTGGAGCTATGCGACATGTTTACTGACTCTGTGGTGATGGAGAATAAGATTTACATGAGAGATTATGGTAATAACTTTGTTTATGAGCCAAAGGAAAGTAAATGGGAATTGGATGAGATGCTGAATTCTGAGGAATGGTGGGATGCGTGTGTCGTCGACGATGTTTTGTACTATTACGATATAAACGTGAAGGAGTTGAGAGCTTATGATCCAAAGCAAAGGTGCTGGAGAGCGGTGAAAGGTTTGGAAGAATTGTTGAGTAAGATGGCTGATTCATGGGGGTCGAGGACGGTGAGTTACGGTGGAAAATTGGCTCTGTTCTTTCATAAATATCATCTTCGGACGAAGGTAGCAATCTGGTGTGCGGAGATTTCTCTGGAAAGGCGCCAAGGAGGAGAGATTTGGGGTAAGGTGCAATGGTGTGATGTTGTGTTTGATGGTGATAAGAGTTTTTACGTGGAAAAATGTTTAGACGTATTGGTTTGACGAAGAAAATCTCCTCCACATAAGTTCTTTTTACACCCAATTCCTTAGATCGGTTTTCTTTTTCATTATCCTGGATCTGATTTTGTGTGTTAGGAGTATGTTGAATTCGTTAATTTAAATCAGTATATTCTAATTTGAGTGCTTTTGTTAAAAATCCATAATGTTTTAGGGAATAGGTTTCAGTGCATGGTAATGAATTCAATACATCGTATCTCTAAGCATTTTTTGTCACTTAGTTAACAAATACTTTGGACCTTGGAACATCACATTCTTGATATATCCCCTTGGGTCGAGCTTTGATCGGCTCTTCAAATGACTTCTTATGAATCGAATTCTATCTTTGGGTAGCTCGAGTTTCACATTCGTCCGTTTAAGTTTTTATAAGATGAACCGTACCACGGTTAGACTTGTGCGGAGAGTGTTTCCGCAAATATGCTACGAGTTAAAAACATGGTCATTATTAAACTACAATCGGATTTACGAAGGAATTGGAAAAAAATGCTATAGGAAGCTTTTTTTTAGTTTCGTAATCAACGAGTTGATAGAATTGTGGTCCATAAAATATTTTTGAATCGAAGACTTGTGAATGTAAAACTCATTTTTCGTATCTCTAGTTGAAACTTATAAATAAACACAAAATCAAAACTAATACCTAAATTTAAGAATTCTCAAAGAAAATAATATAAAACTTACAGAAAAAAATCACAAGAATGGCTTAGTTGCTAAAACCACTTAAGAGAAACATAATATATACAAACTACTAATATATATTAACTTTCACCAGTCAAAATATTTCGTATAATTATGATTAAGTCATGCATAGTCATATCGTAGTTTTTTTCAGAAGAGCCACAAAAAACCACTAAATGCCACGAAGTAAAAATACAGAGTGAAATGTACCATTTTCGTAGCTTTTTCCTGTCCTAGTTTGTCACAAATGAGTAATTAATATTTCGTGACTAGAATTGTTACAATTTTGCCATGATACGAAAGTTATTGAGAAATTGTGTAATCAAGCAACTTACCAAAAATAAAACACTATATTGTTTCTTTGCCATAATTGTAAAAACCGGAAATCGTGATGCAAAAACTGTCTTTAGTCATCTTTTCTAGTGGGATTTAAGGAAAATTATTATGTTTGGTCGGATCAAGTCATGGAGAAAATTAATATGATGTTGGCAAATCCTTAAGAGCAAGTCATTTTACCAATGAAGAAGCAACGCAAAATACGCAAGCTACAATTTTTCAAGTTTTGGTTGGTAATACTTACGAGTATTTTCCATACGCAAACGTCAACGTTGGACAAGATGTGGCATTGTCCCATGTATTAGAGAATACGGTGGAAACAACCAACAAAAAGCCATATCAAAATAGCGTATCTCAAGTTTTTTATGCCGCCAATCACCCACTTTAAGTCAGGTGTATAAAAGAAATTTATTAATTATATGTGGTTTCGTATATGATAAAAACAAAAACCGAGTACAATATAGCAAAGGCACGAGATATCATAAACTTTGAATAAAGTTCAGTCCAATCCAAATAATCTATAGCATCATACTACAAAACAAAGAAGTTGACAGGAGCACTTGCACTACTTGTATATAAAATTGATGTTTGTGAAGATAATGCATACTTTTTTGGAAGGTGGAAGATCTACTGCGGCTATGCTGTCGGTTTTGTGGCAAAGATAGATATTACCCGAATAATGGGAAAGAGAAGAATCCAGCTAAAAAAACTTGTAAGTTTGGGTTATTTTTTGGCATCTGATTTTATAAATGATCAACCGAACTGAAGGTCTTTACAAATTTACCATAAACACATCTAGAACAAAAAAAAAATCATAGCTTGAGTTTCTCAATCGTTGTAAAAAACACTATGTTTTAAAGTAAGATTTTAATGAGTAATATATACAAAATCAAAAACTAAAAGCTAAATAATTCACCATTCAAGTTTTTTTTATCAGCTAAAATTCATAGCAAAATCAAAAACTCATAATCAAAAGGCAAAAACCATTTAAACATTCATGGTCATAGTAATTTGATTGAAAAAATGAGACATTTGAGAGAATAAAAATTAGAGAAACCAAGTAGTGAAAGAGAGAATGAGATGTTTGGTTTGCATGCAGAAGTGAGTTGGTTATATAGGCACAAAATTTAGCCACGAAAAAGCTACGGTCATTTTTTCGTGGTTAATTTCATGGCAAAAGATCGAATAGATTTGTCTGATTATCAGACTGGCGAGATGTTTTTGGTGGACGATCCGTGCTTTTCAATTATTTGAGACAGTAACGAAATTACGGTGGCCATATATGACTCAGTAGCCACAAATTATTTATGACAAAATCGTGACAATTCAAGTTACGGAATATTAATGATTATACAAATTAAAGAACGAAAACATTATGTTTTTCTCCATATATTTTGTTTTGTAGTTTTTCGTGTGGTTAATATAGAAAAAGTCACGGTATGACTGTGGCTCAACCGTGGCTATATGAAATTGTTTTACTAGGTCTTGCGTTGATTGTTTTCTCCTTTTGTTGGTGTCGTGTTTCTGATCGATGCTTTGTTAGGTTCTTAACTCTTTAACTAACAGGGTTATTAAACCCTCGCCCATTCGTTCAGTGTGGTCTTCAAACAAACAAACATAAAATATACACTTGCGCGAGTCAGTATAATAGTATCAAATGAAATTTAAATTAACCAACATCACAGGATAAAACTAAAATATTCTTCCGACACAGACAAAACACAATTGTTTAATTCAACTTCCGAGGGTTAGAAGAATCGAAGCGTTTTGTAATACTACTATTTAAATCAAATAAAAAGGTTAGGGAAAAGAAAATTAGCAATGGCATGGAACGGGCATATAGTTGGGAAGTGGGGACAATGAAAATTATGGGAACTTGTTGCTGCAGTTTATGAAGAACACTTCAAGCCCCAATAAAGAAAAGTTCACAAGCTTCATTATCTTTATTATTTTTTTTTTTTGGGAACTAGAATTATCTTTATTCTTTGTTCCCTTCTTTGTAATTTATTTTTATTTATTTTCTGGTTCACACGACAACCAAACCCCTGAAAAAGAGTATTTTGTTTAGTTTTAGTACTATTCATAGAGGAATGACATTTCTAGAATAACAAACAAAGAAGAAAGAGGAAAAAATATTCAAATAAGCAGGGCCGGCCCTGAGCATGAAACATTAGCCTTAAGCCCCTAAAATATGCATGATTAAATGTATATATTATTTGGCCCTCAAATTTTTTTTTTTAAAAATGTATGAACTATCTATCATCCAATCCGAAATTGTTTCAAGTGGACTAGATCTCAGGACCGGCTCTGCAAATAAGTATGAGGACAAACATTTTGGTTAAGTAATTAATCAAATAAGTATGAGGACAAAATATATATATATATATATATACATATATTATACGAGTAATTATTGTCTCACAAAATTTCAGTTTCCTGGGTAAAGGTTACAAGACATCTAGATGAATTAGCAATTGTACCAAGAAATCCAATTACAGGGTCAAACATAGGAGTATTAATCTTAAATGGTTTTGAGGGTGGAAAAAAAGATCTTATTGTTTTGAAGAATACCCTAATACGTATAGGATTTATGCTTATCGAGGGTTTATTAGATCAAGCGACCATAGGTATATAAAATATGATTATAGTACATGATTTTTGTAAGGTTTTACGATGAGCATAATTCCGTAGGCGTGACCATGGAATTTGTAATATGATTATCTATCGACTCTCAGTGTATAGGAAAAAAAGTATACATACGCATAAATACTAAAGTCCTATGCGTTTCAATATAGAGAAATGTATTACCGAATTTTTGATATAACATTTGATCTGTTATTTTCTTTTGTCCACTCTAGAATCATTCATTGGTCAGAAAACTCCAGAAGACTAAGAACTCTGCAACATCTTTAACGAAAAAATGTTACACGACATAGTCACAGATATATATATATATATATAGATGTTGACCTAAATTTTATACATAGATACACTGCATATATGTTCACCAGACAAATTATATGTACTCTCATATTTGTATAAGTTGTATTTTCTTGAATACATTGAACAAGCAAAATAGCAAAGATATTATTTTAGAATGAGGATTACTTAAGAATCTTGGAAGGTTTAACAAAAACAAAAACTCTTGGAATAAAGAAAAAAGGGAGCTCCCTTCAGTCCAATCGCAATGAATCTAAGATCCAATAAGTTTTCGGCATCATTTACTCACTTAACAAGTTCAATCCTTATAAACTACTTGGTAAGTGAATGAATGAGTCCGTAACTAATTAGATCATATCACAACATGTGAATGGACTTAAAGAAGCTCCCTTGGTATATTATCGAAGAAACATCATCACTTACAACAACCATTATAATTATTCAGTGTACAACTAAACCAATGAATGTATATAGGTATGGGATATGTGTAAATGCGTATAATGGATGCTATATATGCATGGATCTAGAACCCTAGATAGAGAGAAAAAGCAATATAATTATAAGAAGATATTCAGCGTGAGTTTAAAGAAAACAATGGAACTCTGGACCTCTGGTCTATATAAGACTATAAAGATATGTTGATTGTATTATATGATATGTATATAACCGGTGACTGAGAGAAATAAAATAGAGAGAGAGATAAGATTGTGAAGGGGAGAGATTTTGATATTTCAAGAAAGGGCGTAGAATAGGGGTGGTAGAATATACAGAATGTATAATATCATACTCCTTAAGTTTCATTGGTTTATATAAGCCTTAAGTTTCAACTTCTTAGGTAAATTGTTTTCTGATTTATAAAAGAAAAAGTTCTCGTTGGCTAAAAAAAAAAAGGTTTTGGTTCCTTATATAATTATTGTTTTCTTAAGTTCATTGGAAACCGAACTTGAACTCAATAGAATAATGGCAGTTAATTACTATATGTATATATATCGTCATAGAAGAAGCGGTTCTGCAGACTGACTCTGCGCAGAGAG